ATGCCTGTTCTATCGGGCGTCTGTGTTTGATCGCGGACCGGTAATTGAGTCGAAATTATTTTCGGGTCTGGCGGGGTCATTACCAGGCTGAAGGGAGACCGAATCGAGGGCGGTCCTTGCGAGGCCCCCAACTTTCCGGGTGGCAACTTTTTCTGCTTTGATGATCACTGTCAGTGAGCAAAAGGCCGCTTACGGGCCCCTCGCGCGCTCTCACCTCGCGCGTCGCTCCATCAATCTCTCGTAAGCCAGCGTGCCGTTTTTACCGGTTGAAATTTATTACGCCGTGGCCCACGCTCTTTCCACCGACGATGCACAGACGCGCTGCCTCTGTGTGTCTTCTCATCGATAGAAGAGAGTGAGAGAGTCCATTCCTCGCGGGAGGTGTCCCTGCCGAGTTTGTTTGATAAAACGGTGAATAAAGGTTCGAATATCGCGCAGAGATTAGGTGGTTTGGCGAGTTAATAATCGAGGATGCGCGCTTTCCTTTCGACTTTTGCGAAAAAAACTTGAAAAATTTGGAGGAAAAAAAATAGGTTGCTTACAAATCGTTGAATTTTAATTCTCGGATTTTGCATTTAACATTTTGCATCGTTTCGTTATAAATAAAGATCGCGATACGATATTTTATTTCCATCCACAAAATGATCGCGCTCGCACGGTGAAGAATCTCTGTTAAAATTAAGGCGCCAAGAGTTTCATCGAATCAACTTTCGAATCAACAAGAAGACCAGTCGAAATGTCTCTGTCACGAAAAAAAGAAAAAAAAAATATACGTAACAGTAGCCCGAAAAAGAAAGAAAAAAAGAAGAATTGTCGCGGGATCGCGTGGGCGATGGAATTTTCGAAAGGTAGCATCGATGATGACGTGGATGGATCACGAAACGGGACAGGATGGGAGGATACACGAGGGAGATGCGTATCGGCCCTACGTAAATACGGAGAAGGGCCGATAAGATCGGAGGAGGAGGAGGAGAGGGAGGGAGAAAGTAGAGAAGGAGACGATCGTTATGGGATCGGAAATTTATAGGGACTCGTTGGTTGGCCCCGATGAATTCGCGGGATTATCGGGGCCCGATTGAGATCTTTTGGTGGTAATGCGCGGCTTTAAACCGTCGCAAATGATCGTGGTTGGCCGGTAATGGCGCGTTGTTCAGTCCGATTTTTCGACGAAACGTGCACTTTCCCGAATCGACGTTGCGGCCAGATACCAACCCCGATCGATCCACGTGTTTGTCCAGCGCATTGAATCGAATAACACGCCGGGTTGGGAACAATTGAAACACCGTGGATCGTTGTTCTCCACGTGTAAAAGGGGGAAAGAGAGAGAGAGAGAGAGAGAAATTTCGTTTCGTTCGAATCGTTCGCAAAGGCGATACGCGATAACGCGAGAGCGTGATTACGTCTTTCTCTTTCTCTCTCTATCTCTCGTTGATAATAGCGTGTGGCAACGAGGCGGTTTCGTTTCCACTCTCTATCACTGTATTTTCGCGAGGAATTAACGTCTGTTTGCCCCATGAATCCGGACAGACTCGTTTCAGACTCGCGATTCCGAGACGGTAACCATCCCAAGCCTTCGAGGAGGGTTATTGATATTAGGATACAACAAACTGTGCTCTCACGTTTTACGTCTCCAGGCTATTCCGACTTTATAAATCTTCAACCCACACGCGCCACGTTCCAAGAATTTCCTCCGAGATTAAGCGAACGATACTTTACAACCCTTTACAACCGCGCAATCTTCTTCCGTCGCCGCTCTCTTTCCTCGACTCGAGGAAAACTACGAGCACGAGTACGTCTCTCCTCCGAATTCCAAATGTATTTCGAATTCTCGTTGTAATTTCAACTAACAAAACTATAATAGAGACTGTATATATACGTATAAGAGGGCGAAGCAAGAGCCCGATACCGGATTGGCATTATAAAAGGAGCTCGATCTTGGATTGACGCGCACCGGTGTATCTGTCACCGGCAGCGTGTTCGAGTATCGACCGTTACAAGCAGTCGTGGAATTTCTCCTAGGCCCGGATCGAGCGCGCGGTTCTGCATTACGTGCACGCGACATAGCTGCACGAGGGAGCGTGTGCTCGCGAATTACGAGCGGCCTGGAACGACCGACAACGACGACGACGTTTCTTTAATAAACCGTTAGGGCCCACGGTATTACACGCTCGTTGCCGGAGACTGAGGGCTCGCGCGCGCGTAACGGCCGACCGGATAAAAAGGGGGTTACACTATACGTTAATATATCAGGTTATCTTCGATCGGGCTTTATAACGATACGGTGGTACCACACTCTTAACAAGCGGCACGGCATTTTTCTGCCAGTTAATGGCGACTTTCTCCTGTTCATTGTGGCCACGATCGGTATCTCGTTCGAGAATTAATTAGTGTCAGTCGCTTTAAAAAAAAGAAAGAAAGAAAGAAAAGAAAAGAGCCGCGAGCAATTCTCACGAAATAAGCAAATCCGCGCGAGAACCATCTCCTCTCGATCCCTTCGTTTCTCGCTTCGTCTACAATACTCGTGGCTCGTACATGCTTCGTCCTGTTCTCTCGTTTAGAAAGTCGAGAATCGAAAATCGACCTTTCGGTTCTAAAAATTATCCCCGCCTTTGCCCGAATCTTTCAACTTTCCGTCTCGCTCGACAACGAAATCGATCGAACGAACGGATTAACCGTGGTTAACGATTCCTTGGACGTCCTCTTCGAGTCGAGGAGGAATCTCGGGATCTTGGAAAGCGTCGACGATTGATCTCGAATAGCTTCGTGGACGGAGTCGAGAATTGGATTGTCGAGACTTCTCGAGGAGAATTCGTAGACGGATGGATGGACAACGGATGGAGAAAATTCCAAGCAAAAATGTGCAAAGATGGAATAGAATTTTCCGTACGTTTAGATTTCTCTTATCGTTTCATTATCGAATGATCCTCCCCTTCGATTTTCGATCCGAATGTATCGAGTGTATTGGATATCTCAAAGCGGATGTTCCATCTATCCATGAATCCCGAAATCGCAAGAAACTTCCATTATTTCAACGATTTCTTCCATAAACGCGTAAGACAGTTAATTGAATGCTTCTGTGGCACAGGCGCTTCCGCGTAAAACAACTCCTCTGCGCGATATATATCCCAGCCTCGAACATCGTCAATAACTTGAAATTGGCCATATTCTCTCGCGCAATGGAGCCCGTTTATGTACTATAGAACCTGCTAGAGAGAAGCAAGCCGAGAGTAAGGAGCACGAGTAACGAACGACGAGGAAGTTCTGGGACGTTTCTCGGCGCGATTGGAATAAAAAAGAAAAAAAAAAAAAAAAACGAAAAATAAAGATAAGAGTAGAAAAAGAAAAAAAAGGAAAAGAAAGAGAAGACACGCGTTGTAAGTTCGCGTTATACGCGTTGGATCGAAAGCACGAAGCCTCGAAGGCAGGCCAGAAGGCAGGGGGCGAGGAGCAAGGGTAAAGTGGAGGCGATGGTCGAGAGCTTGGAAGATGGCTCTCACGTAGCCGCACTTAGAGAGCCACCGAGGCGGTCCGCCGTCAATAATTCCCACATGTAATGAGGCGGCCTGTTGTTCGCGGGCGGACAATAACGCCCATAATTCACTGTCCACGCTCGCCAGAAACTTATCCACCCGTTTTCCGTGGAATCGGCCGGCCTGGCCGCTCCTGGGCGCCCACGAGTCCGCCCCGATAAGCCACCGGCCTGCGCCTCCACTTTAATCAAATTAGTCGCTACCATAAGCTCTCGTTCGAGAGGCTTAGGTGGGGAATATTAATCGATGTACTCGTGGTTTTGGGAAGAAGTTTGTACGGAGGAAGCGCGAATCGAAAAAGGCGGAAAAATGATTCTTTCGAATCGTTTGGAGATTGCTTTTGAAATTGGTGGAAAGTTTCTCGAATTTGTCTCGAAAAAAGGGGGGTAATTTTAAAAAGGCAGAATCGGCAGAAATTACGAAAGAAATAAGTGAATAGGTTTGGATCGATGAGGATCTTCGAAGATCGAGGAAGCAATTTAAAAAACAAATAAGAGAGGAAGAAAAAAATGTTTTAAATTTCAAAGAGACGATTGGAAGAAAATCGGTTGGAATGAAAAATCCCGCAGCGGCTCCTGAATCTGACTTTGTCTTTTCTAGGTTTGGTAACCGGTCCGAGTTTCCCATTCCAAAGTTGGGAATAACGTGATTCGTTAAGTCCTCGACAGACTTGACATCGCGATGCGGTTTGGCCGTAATGACGCGACCGGACTGACCACTTCTCGACTTCGCCGAGCCGACTTCGTGCGAGCTCATGTGCCCGGAAACGTTTG